ATTTTTTTATTTGTTTAATTTTGTATTGGATAATAAATAATATAGTGTAAAATAAGAAAATCATGTATTAGTATTGACATTGCTTAAAGTGCATTAAGCATGTTTTAGTCCTAAAATGTAAATATTCATTTACTTTGAAATTAAAAATATTTTCTTCCTGTTATTACATAAATTTATTTTATATTGAAAAGTTATCGGAGTTTTTTTGTACTTTTATGATACAATATAACTAAATAAAGTATTTAAAACAATTTTCATCTAAAAAAAGACTCAAATATTTTCTCCATGTTGAATTCTTTAGTAGAGAACTATTTACTCATGAAAATATGGGTAAACTAGTATTTTTACTCAATCAATTTTCACCCATATCAACTATGGGCGGGTTGAATTATTACCCATTTTATGTTAACCTATTTTTAATCCGCCCAAATTTAATCCAATCCATCCATTTGCCACCACTAGTTGCAAGTGAGCGTGCAAAATCAGGCAATAATGTTTCAAGTGAAGTGACATTAGAGGCTCCCTTGTGTTTGGACTTGAATCACTCAACAGGATCTTGCCGCTATTTCATTAATGTTGCTTTTCGTCCACTAATTATGGGAATTAATATTCTTTCAGCCAAATCAGAACGCATGCATTTTGCAATTACAAGTGGGAGGAATTTATGTATACTTATTAACTTTGGATAGGTCAAAATAATTTGACTTGATAAATTAAATAAGCGTCATCCACCATTATGAATTAGGGTTTAGGTAAAAAATAAAATAAAATAAAATTAGGATTTAGGTGAATCAAATATCACATTGTTTTCTAAATCAAGTTCAAGAATTGGAGAAACACGTCTCATGAAATTTTTTGTATAGTACTTTTTTCTTTAAAGGTGTGGATAACTCGTCAACTGAGTTGCAACCCCACGATCGGGCTACAAAAAGGTGAAAGACTCCGGTATTTACATGTAGAGACACATGTTTGGATTAAAATATACACAATTTGGAGGGGTGATTCGTTGGTTCTCTAGTCTCCAGCTCACTCATTTAGATTATGTTAATTCTTGTCACACATCATTTTCAATTGATGTAGAAAGATAGTGGCATAATTCACTTAAACCAAAGATACAGGCTAGAAGATACCTCTAAAAGCATTATATATACTTTAGACTTAGCTAGAATTATACTTTTCTGTCTTAATCACCATTCACCACTGAGATTGATTGGCCCATTTGTATTAATCCCTTTTACGAGGGTCTCTAATTTCTTTTTGTGCTGTTTGAAACTTTGAAGCACACCAAACCTCCCCCCGCCCCCGCTCCATTCAATAATGTAGTTTCAAGGGTTTGTTTTCTTTGTCCAAGATTCATATGGGAATTTTTGTTATATATGGACTTTTCAATTTGTCCTTAACAAGTGAGAGATGATAAAATGGAGTTTTTTCACAAAATTTGAAGCAAAGAAATAAAAAGAAATCTCTATGACCTACTTATTTTGAGACATTATGGCTTAGGGTCGATCCCGATAACAAAGAAGAAATTCATAAAAAAACTTATATTATTAAAAACAAGTGAAAACTTGAGGGTCAAAATCAACGAACGATTACTTGATGTTCGCCAAAAACTAGACCATGACAACGTCGGAATAAGGTGGGTCGGTTTAAGAATATGGATGGAATGTGTGTTTGAACCAAGGGACGTCCCTCAGTTCACTTAAATTCAATTAGGACTTCATATCATGATAAAATATTAATCTCATGATAATTCCATAAGATTTGATTAAAAAAAAGGAATGTACGTAATAGTTTGATGTTTATGTTACAAGAATATTTAGTGTAATGTACCCTATTAGTTTCTTCATTCCTGTTTCTTGGGTACCCCTCAAGCATGTCTGTAATTGTGACTTTAAAACGTTATGAGAAAAACTTAGGTAAAATTTCATAACGTTTAACCAGTGTTAAAACAATTTTTTAAAAAAGTTTTTCATCATCCGATGTTAGATGTTCGGTATTTATATTGGGAACTCGATTAATTTAGATTCACATTGTATAAGACATATTTATAAGGAAAGTGCTTCTTGATAGAATTTTTTTTCATACCCAAAATTCATATTGTATCATTCCACCACCACCCTTATCTATGGGTATAACATTAATTGTTTGATCACATTTAATTCAGCGGTGACTACACTCTTTTGTTTGTTTACTGTAACTTATTCCTTCTCTGTACATTATTGGCTTAATTCTTGCTTCAAGGGCTTGCCTAAATAAGAATTTAAACTAGTAGTGTAATTTTTACTAAAAACATCTAAACAAAGAGAATATATATATATATATTTAGTTGATTAATATTCTTCAACTCCAAGCAAGAATCAGGTTGAATGAATAATACGCTCTTTCAATTGAATTGGAGCCTCCAGAATTTTCACATAGAGAGAATTTGATCAGTCAATGAGAATCCCTAGATCTGATTATGGCACATCCCTTCACTAGCTAACAAATTGCACGTTGTTTACTATAATTAGTAACAACATAAAGTTTGCATGGCTGTCAAAAGGAGTTTTAATTTTGGTCAAGAATATTTCATGGGTCACAAAGGCAAATAAGTAAAAATACTCAATTCATTTTAAAGTTGTTGGTTCAAATATGTGTTGAGTAGTGAATTAGTTCAGCTTATTTAAAAGTTGGATTGAATATAGTTTAAATTGATTTATGAAAATCTTTACCAAATTATTTAATTTTTTAAAGTAAAATAGTTATATATATAAATTTAGGTAATTAAATAAATTAGAAAAAAAAAAAAATTTTATAAGAGTAGATTGGGTAGGATTATGGACTCATTATTTAATCAATTTTGATCCATCGCCATTTTAGCCTAAGTAAGGGTTAATGACTTGTACACACATCTATTAACTTAAGCGTCAGCTCATCCACACATTTGACCATCCTGATTATAGGTGTCAAATGATGGTCGAATTGAATTTACCCAAGTTAAGATGAGTTGAGTTAATAAAATGAATGAATTATTGACTTATTTAAAAGTTATTTGGACTAAAATGAGTTTTAGGCAAAAAAAATTGAGTCATAACTTAATCCAATCATTTTTTATTAAATTTCAATTGCTATATCTATTCTTTTTTTTACTGCCTAATAAATTATTATTATTTTATTATGCTACATATAACCTATCAAATAAAAAAAAATCAAAATATTTTAACAAAATTTGTCATGGCTCAATTTGGGCTAAATATCACACTAATTTTCTATGAACTGAAATAAACTGAGTTAATTAATAACATGCTAATAATCTGTCTAAACTTATAACGGCATGTACGGATTATAAAATCAGGGTGACTCGAGACAACTTCTCAAAGAATTTCTTGTTGCAATTGGACCTCAGAAAGCTCTCACTCCTCTCTATCCATTATTCATTATTTATTTTAAGTTTTTTTAGATAGAGAATTAATTACTATTTGGATGTTGGATAGTGGATTGAGAATGATATACTCGTTGTGTTATACTCTTTTATTCCTTTCTAGTCCACAAGTTAATTACGTTCATCAATCGTTCGACAAGTTGGGTGCATAAACTTGATTAGTCTAATTTTAACACCACTGAGAAATTAATACTGTTCATGGAATATTAGTTTTTTTTTCTTACTGACAAATAGCTCAGTCTAGCTAGAGTAAGGTTCTAATTTCTAAATGTCATTAATTTGACCATCTCACTTGCACTACTTTTTTTTTTGGTTTCCCACCCGGTGTTCGGAGTCTACATTGGAGTTCCGACTAAATTTGGATCGCGCTCTGCAGGGCCCATTCGGGGGTGGCGCTTCCAACAAAATTTTCTCCATACCCAGGGCTCGAACCTGAGACCTCTGATTAAGGGTGAAGCACTCCCACCAGTGCACCACAACCCATGTTGGTAAAGAAACACCCCTGTAGGGGATCGAACTAGAGACCTTGCGCCATAGCTGCGGCGCACACTACTTAAATAAGAGGAATGAGTTGGAGAGGGACTAATGATATTTTGTAAAGAGTAGATTGGAATGACATAATATAACACTGTTTGATAAACAAAGTTTTTTTTGTGTGCGCGTTGCCTATCGATCAGTTACTTTTTATAATTACAAAAATATCATTGTGTGTAATATTATCTTCTTATAATTTTTTTAAGGACACATAAGAAAATAATGGGTTAGGAATAAAATTTTATTTTACGTTAATAATTTAGTATGTATGTATTTTACTTTTTTTTTTTTTTTTGAGAGAGATCAAAATTTTCGGAACGAATTAAGATTAACGTTGCTCATTGCATGTTCATGTTTGAACACGAATTTGTGCCCCTACATGTCTTGTAATAATTTTATAAAAGTGTATTCTGCATTAAAACATGACATGACGGAGCACTAGGCAATTTACTCGTAAAGTTATTAATAGTAATACCACCGAGTCAAGAATATTAATTTAATTTAAAATAACATAGTGCGAACAAATTAAAACTGTCAAACACACACTTTTATTTATTTATATACTAGATAGGCATGCCCGTGCTTAGCACGGGCCCAACGCCCAACAAATTGAATTTTAAGACATCTTTTTTATTTGCTACAATTATTTTGAGGTGTGTACCAGTGACCTAAATAAAATTATAAGTACTTGGTAACTTTTGTGCCAATAAGAAACAAGCATCTCAATTGAAGAAGCATTACATACAGAGACATTGTACGACAGGTCTGGACTTTGAAGTATAGACTGATGGATTGTATCTCAGCACATATAAAGATTTACATCTCAATACGGTGAATACATACTCTAATCATGTTTCATTAGTTTTGAGTAGGATACACATTTAATAGTTGCATCTTAGATTGATGACTTAATTTTTAAATCTATTCTAAAGAAAAAATATTAATCATTAAATACGATGTTTTAGTAATTATAAAGTACTTACAAGACACATCGAGGGAGCAATCTACAACACTAAACATGGATATTAATATAACTGCAAGCATGTTCTCATCAACACCTTTGCATACATTTCAAGCAATCACAAATATTTGTGTTCCAGTTTTTGGACGAAATTTTCTTGAGTTTTGAAACATAATGTTTCTTTCATTTCAAACTATCAAGAAAATGCAGGCTGAAATTGTATCTCATACATCTCTAAGGTGTTCTATACTTTCTCGTTCATTCAGTTTATGATAAATTTCTGTAAGACTTTTAAGCATCGCCCATTCGAATCTAAATAATGTTGGTACATGCAGTCGCTATAGTTGACACATATTCAGTCCCTTCACCAAGTGATGACTTCAGCTTCCTTTTAAGGCACATGTAGCATCTTACGTAGCAATTTTCATCACCATATTTTTGCTCGAGTTAGTAACTACAATCTACTATACATGTTCTTGCTAGAGTTAGTAACTGCACTCTACTCCAATAATTTAATGTTGAAGATGTTCTGCTCTTTCAAATCTGCCTCCAACTTTAAGTTCCAGATGTGCTAATACTTTCTGATAAGAAAAGAAACCATTACCATTTTTAAAAACCAAATAGCTGGAGATATAGCTTAATTACTCTCTTGTTTAGTATCCACATTTACTCTTTAAAATAATATTAATAAGACGGAGAGAAAATCTGATAAGCTCCATTAAACAAAAAATGTACTCTACAATAAGAACACAAAATTAAGATGAATTAACGTGAAGACAATTAAGTGTGGACTTTAAACTGGTTGTCCATCTTTCCTTTCTAAGGCCCTTCTCATCATACTTGAATACTTTGCTGAAGAAGACTGTAAAAGAAGGAATCTATGGCTACTATAGAGTAAGTTAATAACTATTCTTTGATCAGACTAACCTAAAGCACTTAGTAGCTCATTTCTAAGATAAAGGACCATGAGATCAACATAAAGAGTTTCCTACTGAAAACGCAACAAATCAAGAAAAGAGGAAGGGTAAATAAACACTTTGTGCTTCCTCAAAATTGTCACGTATACTCTCTAATAAGATAGATCAATAGTAGAAAAGATGAATAATCTCAACAATTTCTATTGAAGTTACTAACGTTTCAAATCTCATTAAGTTTCTGAGTAATCCATATGCTTTCAAGGCTTAAATACATATTGAGATGACGATAAATATGAGGAAAATAACTTTTATATGAATTATGTTTGTGTAGAAATCAATATGAATGTGGAAAAGAGTTTAGAACTAATTGAATGATTTTGATGGCCTGATGAGTGAATTGAGAAGAACTAAAACATGATATCTTTCTCAAACCTCCCTCACAATGTGAGCTCATATCGTGAGAGATATTGGTTGATTGGCCAGGACGTGGGCCTTGTCACAGGGCAACACAAGACACTTCATTTGAACATGAATATGTTAACACTTTAAGAGTGAATCTATTTTCAAGCTCAATTACTATCCTTCATGTCCTGATATTCAAGAATTCAATGCCAAAAAATTGATTGGATTTGGAGAAAATACTGATCCACAAATCAGATCGATATTAAGATCCAACAACACATCCGACCTTCAAATTTTACTCAAAAATGACCACGGAATTTCTGTACCACCTGATCATTTTGATTGTAGTTAAACTCAATAATTAATGTGATGAAATATCCCCTATCTTTTATGGATAATATATTGATCTTATCTTAGCATGCTAGCCGCTACTTCATTTCGTTTTTAATATGCCTTACTTAAAATGTTGCAAAAGTATTAAGTTACTATGTTTATTTTGCACACATTTATTAATTCATTGATGCTTATTATTGTATCAAAGCTGGTGCAACTGTGCAGGCATGAGGAAAATGCATTAAAATGAATGTATTCCAGGGAAAGTAAGCGAAATTTGCAGTACTATTATTACCTGTCCTTTGTCGTTCTCGTCCTCGTCATCATTATAATCATGACCTCAAGAATGCCTCTCAGAATCTTTGTCTACATAATCGACTTTCCTGCCAGTTTAATGGATGAGGAGAGGAAAATGAATGGTCCTTTTATAACTTAGTATAGACCTCGACTTAATGACTATAGCAGTGCTATAATGTCATACGAAACTTAGAATGTACATTTTGTAAAGAAGGCACTTTTATGAACTCATGGAAGAATATATTTTAATAAACTCAAGGAAGGTTCAGCTTCTTTGCTAGAATACAAAAATAATACAAAATTCTGTCGTAGTCAGATACTACAAGACATTTATAAAGTACTTGTTACTATTAGGCATTTGATTCGAAAATAAGATTAAATTATTTCTAGAAAGCTCCATTACCTGCAAGTCATCAAGACTCTCACCATATTTTGGATTCAAATAAGTAAATTACTGAATAATAGACTATTTGCCATAACTTCAAGAACTTCCTGCCAACGTAGCTATAGAATTAATTTAAAAGAAAACTGTAAGTCTGTAACTTTGACTTTTTCAAACGTACTTCTGAAGCTATTATATCATCATAAATCATTTATATACCACAATAATTGCACAAGTGCTTAACTATTTTACTGTTCTTTTTCGTCGGTGAGAACCGTAAAACTTTAGAAATGCATATTGAGTTGCGATTGTCATGCCAGAACACTTATTATATGGACATACTGAGTTGCCAATTTTGAACATGCTCTTTTGCTAATCATCTACTTTCAAGTTGTCCCTTACTTTGCTACATATTGAATAGGTTTGCTGAAGCCAACTCATTAAAAGTGAAAGGTACATGTGTCCCTACACTTGCAGGATTATGTCCTCGGAACACAAAACTCTAATGTAGTTGTTATGTTCTTGATCTTTTTAAAATTCAGAAATTGGGTAAAGTATCATCTTTAGTGTGGTTTCTAAATCTGTAATGTTTAATTTCAAGAAATAAATAAACCAAAATCGTATGCTAGATGATCATCTAGTGAATCCTCCTAAAGCACAGTTGGGTGATACAATTTCGAAGGAGATAGTACATTAGTTAATTGCCTTATTCTCGCTCCCAGTCAAGATTACTATTACCTATGAAATTGGAAAGCCATAGGTGAAGAAATTAAATGCTATTCTTAGCTCATTTTCTGAGATACAAACACTTTGAACTGAAAACTCTGATTGATATCATGCTACTAAAATAGATTATACAAACATTTACACTGGTTATCTGGAGTATATTAATGCATAAAAATAACACTTCAAGCATACCTCGCCCCAAGTATTTCTGAATAAATTATGAGCCAATAAACATTATGAAGGTCATGGTGGTATGATGTACTACGGCCTTTGCAAGAACAGTTTTTGCTCTAGTACCTTTAGGCTTTAACCAAACCGATAAACAGAAAAGTCAAAGTTCGAAGGAAAAATTAGTGGTCGCTAAGGCTTACGATCTCTAGGGATTGAAAACAATGCTTAGCCAACAGAAGTTTCTTTTGTCTACATCCACTTCAAGGAACTGACAAAACTCAAGTAGTGACGCAAGGCCATTGACTCTTAAGTTTCATATGTTATCTCCCTTCTTTTCTTTCTCTTTAGTACTTGTCTTATGCCTCTAGTATCAAAAGCTTTGTTACAACAACAATAGTTAGTATCTTATTTTCCCCAGACACACTAACAAAAAAGAATCATAGAATCCATGGATGAAGAAGTAAACCATTGAAAAAATATTGAAATAAAGCCAATAATCTAGTTTAATAGAAAGCACCAATAGATAAGAAATTAGAGGGATGAAATCAAATCATTAACCTTACCATCGAATAGCCAAAAGCTATTGAAGGGTAATAATGAGATCTTTTTGAAGCTTCAAAAGGATTGCCTAGACCCCCTCTAGAAAGTAAAACCAGAACTATAGAGTAAACTAAAGTGAATTTCAGTTATTTTCATACAGACAGAGTAATACGACATAGTACATACATTCTAGAAAAGTAACAATTTTTTGTTCACCAATTCAAAGTTCAAAGGAAAAAAGCATAAAATGTTACCTCAAAGTAAAATTTGTGATCTTAACATCCCTTATATCTGGTAGCTGAATAAACCTATATTAGCAAAATGGTTGTTCAGTTCAACAACTTATACTACTTGATTTATGAGTGAAAGGTAGAACTGTAAATGTTAATTGGTTGTTCAATATTGAAACAACACCTTCACATGTACATTTTTTGACACACAGTTCGGTAGCAACCAGCTATATCTGAAATCAATCTAATTACAAATTAAAACATAACTGCAGCTTCAACAATAACAGTCTAATCTAGCCTCTGTTTAAAATATTGATATTAAACATGCATGCATCAATGTGGTATTCCAACAACAGTAACCACAAGCAACAAGCATCTGATGACCTTATAAAGAAGTCAGAACATTACATTTTCAATTGATACTTCCTCTAATCAAAACTTAAAATGGACACCAAACCTTAAGCGATATTTGTAGAAGCCGTTAAATTGGTTGAGCAAACAGTAAATGCGCACAAATATATTAATTGAAATAAGTAATATGAGGGTGTTTTTTCATGAATATAATTAAGTGCAACATTCTTATATTGCAGGAGACACTCCAAAATTAGTTTTAAAGCTTATGGGGATGAAGGAGTAACCTTGTAGCACTTAAAGTGTGTAATGTTCTAGCAAAGAGAGTTCGGGCTAGAGCGTACGCAGACATTACCCCTACCTCAGGGAGGTAGAGAGGTTGTTTCCAAATGACCCCACGACTCAAGTGCTAAAAAATACAATTGAATGAAAAATTTCAAACTTATACTGTTGTTATATATAAAATATTTCTTTTCAAGAACAGATTGAAAGCGAAAAAGTATCAAATAATATGAATGGGTCGATGAACATATTGTAATTCCATGGTAAATGTGTTTAACCTTGTAGAGTTGAAAAGACGAAGTCGGTGACAAACTCTATTGGTAGTTTCCATTAACCTTTGGTAACTTGGATGAAACAACAATATCTCTTCCGATACCGAATAGCTAGTGCACAAATTTAACGTACGAATTATGAGCTCGGCAACTCCTTCCCCCCTCAACAACTTCATCACATCTTTCTCCAAATGTTTTTTTTGAGAAGGTAACAGTCTACATCTTTCTCCTAATGTCAGCAACCATTTTCCCCACTAGACATATCGAATATAAATGCGGTTGATCAATTGGAGCAGTTCAACCTGAAAATTCTCAAACTTTATTTCCTAGATTTTAGAAGGAAAGTTATTGTTTATCAAAGTATATAAATGGGATTTCTATTCAACTATTTTAGCATAAAACTGGTCAACTTCAAGGTTTAATAATGCCCCTCCTATATATCCAGTTGCTAGACACCTAATTGGTATGATCATCCTCTCATTCTTCAATAGGCAGGGTCGCAGGGATAACACTATAGCTCAGAACAGAAGAAATAACTCATATAATAGTATTCTTAGGAGAAATCTGAATGCCTGGGGAGTTAGAAGGTATGACAGAATATCTCAGAGTGCTATCCAATCACCAGTGTCCAAGCCACCCTACACTAACGTCGAAAATGCACCAGCACAAGTATCTCGTAACTCTACGCCACCTTACCAAGCTCGACAATGCACCAACACAAGTATTTGGTTACTCTACCCACTAACCTTTAAGCAAATAGAAGAAGAAATACCTATAGTGTTTTCAACTTGAATTTGACATTCCAAAAGCACTATGTTATTCGATTTTTTGGGATAAATGAAAATAGCTTCTTGTGATTTTGAAAAAGAACAATCGAAAGGAAATACTAACTTTTTATTAATGAACACATACATATACCCAAACGGAAAACAACAACGAAAACACAGTATTGAAACAAAAGAAGATGGATATACTTATTTGAGAGACCAAAGTTCAATGCATACCACAATGAAAGATAGATACACTTATTTCATAGACTAAAGTTCAGTTCATACCACAATGAACTATATTCACATGACCTACAAAGGATGAGAGCAAGAAATAGAGAGAAATAACTCAACGTGTGCAATATTACTCAATTTAACAGAAACACAAAAGATGGAAAAAATCAAAAAGAAACTCAACAGAAATAATAGAACAGTCTGATGCGAAGACGGAGGAAAATTGAGGTAAAATCCGAGGTGAGGTACAAATGATTGCAGAAGAACTCTAAATAGCAAAGAGCAAATATGTAACTGAATTTGATCATTCATCAAATAACACAAAATTCAAAATCTGATGCTTTTGAATCTGAAGACATTATACCTGAATTTTTTTATATAATAGGACCCATGAATGCAAAATTGAGATGGGTCTACAGTCTTGTGCATAGGAGACGAAGAAGAAGTGGATTCAACATAGAAATTTTGTCCATGCAACATACCTACAATCACAGACGAACAAATTAAAGCAGCAAACATTGGAAGCAATATCAAAACAATCAACAAAATAGGACAAAGTTTAATTAAAACTCTTGGAAGAAGATGATGAGAAAGCAAAGAAAAATAATGAGAGCAAAAAAGCAAAGTGAAAGAGAAAAGTGGAAGCTCGCCTGGAAGAAGAGAGATTGCAGGGGAGAATGAACTTTGAGCTGCTTAGGCATACGCGTCGTTTTGCTAGGTTAAAGAAGCATATACACGTGTTAAACAAAAAGATCGACAAAAGATAAAGTTATCAATAACCAATGAAATATGTAGACATTTATAGTACCATTCAGATAACTTAGTGTACAAAACCTAATTGCTGTTCAAATGTAAGTTCAAAAAGATTGTTACCTGAACTGTATTTGCTCTGTCTCTGTTTTTGGGAAATTTCAACAATCATTATAAATCTTTATGGGCCAAAATATTCTAAATAAGAAGAAAATGAAGAGGTGCTATCTCAATCCCATCACAATGAAATGGGTAAAACAAAGAAACGATGAAAGAGAAAGAACAGAAAACAACAGACAATCAAACATGCACCTAAGGAAAAGCGGAAACAAAGCAATAATCAGACATACCGTGTAGATTTAATGACACAAACAAAGCAATAAGTTGTTCAAATTTAAGTTCAAAAAGATTGTTACCTTAACTGTATTTGGTCTTTCTCTGTTTTTGGGAAAAATTTCAACAATCGGAAAGAGCAGATTTATTAATTTCCTGTAAATAAACAAAACACCCAATAAATTAAGAACTTTGATAGTAGTTTTTGTACAATTTCAAGATCAAGAGCTTTATTAGATAACTTCATAAAGAATACCCTAGAATGAAATGGAGAAGGTGGGAATGAGTTGAATATTGGGAAGAAAGCTGACAACAGGAAGCAAACAACACGTGGCTTGATGAAAGAAAAATCAATTTATGCCTTGAATTACAAAAATGGCCGCATTGTATGCTTGTTGGAATTACCCCAAAGTTAACATTAGAATTACCTATTTGCCCTTGTTCGTCCTTCCTACTCCCACTTGTAAATAAGAACAAGGGGCATATGTCCTTTATGTTAGCTGAAACTATAACAAAATATGACATCAGACATATATATAAGCAAAAAGTGAAGGATTCATTAATGAAAATTAGAAGAATTTGGTGAGGGTGACAACTTTAAGGAGAGATTACAATAGTATTTAGAAAAGCAGCAAGGTAAATGACAATCATAATATATGAATGATGTAATAAGCTGCAGAACAACAAGTCCCGAATATAGTCAGTGGGATGAAGTCAGCAACAAATGGTTGTACCAAAAGCAACGTAAAGTGTACTTGAGTTAAACGACGAAGAAATACCTGCGCAGATCTTCGGGAACAAAGAGAAATGTTGAGGAAAGCTTGACAGACAGATTTAAACGCTGTACACAAACAAAAAACACCAAGCAGCAGATGAATTCGCCATTGAAGAGGTCAGAAGTAGAAGGAAGAGCTGAGAGAATACAGCGAGTTTACCCAGGAGAACAGAAACTTCAAGCATAAAGAAACAGCTGCGCAGCTCGTCGGAAACCAAGAGAGATCTTGAGGAAAGCTTGACACACAGGTTTAAAGTGTCTAGACAAACAGGAAAAAGCAAGGAGCAGACGGATTCGCCATTGAAGAGATGAGAAGTAGAAGGAAGAGTAGAGAGAATAGTGGGGCTCTACGAAGGAGGCGAGAAATTAGGGTTAGAAATTGTTGACATTATAGGAAGAAAGTTCTAGAGAAAGTGGTTATATATTTATTATATTGATGTACAATTAGTACTACCATTAGTACAATACAAAGTTGCAGTGTTGGTCCTTTCTAAAATGTACAATTAGTAGTGCATTTAGTACAAGCAAATAATGCAGTGTTGGTCCTTTTTAAGTCTCACTTCTACATAAGGGTAATATATGATAAATACAATCTATCTGAAGCACCAGAAAAAAAGAAATTTACCCACCATAAATTAAGAAAAAAACATGTAGTAATTCATATCCATCGTGGCAGATTCAGAAAACAACAAAATAAAAATGACATAAGTAAAAATCCAGAAAAGAAATAGGAAGCAGGAAATAAATCTAAGGATAGAAATTATTAGGCCAGACATTAGCATTATGATTATCATTAAAATTGGGCAAAATCATCTCATCTGCATGTCCATAACCAATATGCTGATCACTTGTGTTGCTGTTCATCCAATCAGTAAACCACTCTGTTTGTGTCCTCTGCATCGGATCCAATCCCAATTCCACCACAGCAGGCTTTTGCTCCATCGGTGGAGCAACAGCCTGCGATGCTGCAGCTGCAGCCACGGCCGCGGCTGCAG